CACTGCAACCTCTGCCTTCTGGGTTCAAGCAATTCTCCCACCTCAGCCTCCTGAGTAGCTGGGGTTACAGACGCCCACCACCTCGCCTGGCTGATGTTTTGTATTTTAGTAGAGAAGGGGTTTTACCATGTTGCCTAGGCTGGTCTTGAACTCGAGCTCAGGCAATCTGCCTGTCTTGGCCTCCCAAAGTGCTAGGTACAGGCGTGAGCCACTGAGCCCGGCCTAGACTTTTCTGAATGTGTTTTTATAACCTATTTTTCTATTTGAAATTGCTATGCACAATTCTTGGTCAAGACTTTATGATCTCCTCACATTTTTGAAAAATCATTAAGGATTCAATTGTATGCCTGAGTAATAAATTAAAGCAGTGCTGTATAAGCATTCAAGGATTTACAGAAATTGGAATATTTAAAAATTATTTTTTTTAACTGTCATTGATACATGTACTACTAAAATATCTTGGGAAAAGAATTTTGAATTCAATCAAAATTTCTATACCAGCCAGGCACGGTGGTTCATGCCTGTAATTCTAGCACTTTGGGAAGCTGAGGTGGGTGGATCACCTGAGGTCAGGAGTTCCAAACCAGCCTGGCCAACATGGTGAAACCTCCAAATCTACTAAAAATACAAAATTTAGCTGGGCTTGGTGGCTGGCATCTGTAATCCCAGCTACTCTAGAGGCTAAGTCAGGAGAATCGCTTGATCCTGGGAGGTGGAGGTTTCAGGAAGCCGAGATGGCACCATTGCACTCCAGAGCAAGACTCTGTCTAAAAAAAAAAAAAAAAAAAAAAAAAAAAAAAAAAAAAAAAAAAAAAAAGAGAGCGAGAGAAAAGAAAAAAAACCCCCAAAATTCAAATCAAGTATTTTACAATAACAACGCCCTATTTTGCAGAAAGCACTTGAATTGTTAAACAGTCAAAGGCAGCCAGCTCAGATGCCTCCAAATTGGCCCGCCAGCTAGAAAGGGACACAGGAATCAGATACATGTGAAGTAAACATTTGGGCTACTGCCTGGAGCTGAATCCACCAGGAGCCCACATTGCCTCTGTGCCTCCCTCCCGCCTCTGCAGTGGGGCTGTGGGCTGGGCTCCGTGCACCTGGAACATAAACTCCAGCTGCGCCACAGGCCCTTGTCTATGACACCTGCAGGACAGGTGCTATTGCTCGACCTTCCTACGGGAGCAACAAGTTCCAGGTGTCACTGCTACCACTGAGGCCAGGACGCCCAAGCCGAGTTTGGGTCTTGGTGAAAAACAATTGGGAGGGCCCCCAATGAGGACATAGTGGCTGGATACCTTTATGTGGATTTTGTATTTGAGGCAGACACAACCTAGTTGGCCCCCGTCTCCTGTGGTCCACAGGGCCAGTGACTTTTACTTTCTCCATGCCTTGCATGCCCCCCACCTCCTTTTCCAGCCTGTGAGACCACCATGGGGTACAGTCTTTCCCACTCTGCATGAGTCCGTTTCCGCACTGCTAAGTTATAAAGAAGAGAAGTTTAATTGACTCACAGTTCCGCATGGCTGGGGAGGCCTCAGGAAACTTTTAACAGACGCAGAAGGCAATGGGGAAGCGGACGACTCCTTCACCAGGCAGCAGGAGGGGCGTCTGAGAACCAGGAAGTGCCGCACTTTAAAACCACCAGCTCTCGTGAGAACTCACTATCACGAGAACAGCGTGGGGGAACCCACCGCCCTGCTCCAAGCAGCTCCACCTGGTCCCTCCCTTGACACGTGGGGATTATAAATCGAGATGAGATTTGAGTGAGAACACAGAGCCAAACCATATCACTTTCCAAGCCTGCCCTCCAAGGAGCCCCAGAGGAAGCCGGGGCTGTGGGGGCAGCCCTGGGGCTTGCATGCCTAGACCCTGCCCTGCTGCCCCAAGGGTTGAGCGATCAGTATCTCAAGGCATACCCGGAACCTGGGTGCAGCGTACTGCCAGACACTGTGAAGGGTCTGAGATTTTACCCTGCTTGCAAGCTAATGATCTAGCCTGCTACAGCTTCATGGATGCTGGCAGACTGACTCCTGGGTCAAAAGAAAGGGACTGTATTACTCGCGAGTTCCATTTGTCCCCCCAAGTACCCCAAGGAGGTGATGAGTGACAACCCAAGTTATGATGTATGGTCTGTATCACAGCCGAGGAACTCCAAGCTTAGGAACCCCTTGAGTTATAAGATGGACTGCTGGACCAACCAACTCATCCAACCTTTGTCCTGCAGGTAGACAATGATGTTTATTATCATAGTCAGGAAAGAAATTTGTCCTCTGCCTAGACAAGCATCCTTGAACGTGTTCAGTTACTGTAAAATTTCCATAGAGAATTGCTCAACACATACCAGTCTAGTATCCCCTGTGGCACCTGGCTGGGAAACCCACTTTATCAACATCAGAGCCAGTGAGTGCCCTACGGAAAAAGAGAGGACTGATTTTCATGTGAGCTGACTGACCTCAGCAAGGTGTGAAGGGTCAGGCACCCAGCCACACTTCCCCAGGCTTGTAGACATGGCCAGCACGCAGCTCGGTGTGGTCTGGAGCCTGCTGGCCACATGTGTCATATGCCATGCTAAGCTGGCAAATATTTTATAAATTGTCACCAATAAACAAAAACTGTCCCTCACACTTTGTGAGACTAACTTCAATAATGATTGTGTGAGCTTTTATAGTGACTTTTTAAAAATTTCCAAACTATTCATATTTTAATGTAGTCCTGGGTCATGGCCACAGAAAGACTGAGGCGCTCTAATGCATTCCCCACAAGCTGGGCATGATTTTCACTCAGGAGTAGTGAAAAACAAGTGACCTGTCAGCTCCTAACACAGAAGGGTGTCTACTCCCTATGGAAACATTAATAATTGACACAGAACAAGTACAAGGCAGTGACAAAGTGGTGTCCAGGCTTGGTACAGTGGCCCGGTCCACACCAGCAGAAGTGTGGGTATCAGAGGACAGAGCTGTTTCTCAATCCTACTTGGAAAGTTAAGAATTCCGATGTTGTGGTAAGAGCACAGGAGCTGGACAGATGCGGCTGAAATCCTGGGTCTAAGCCCTTCTGATAACACAACTTTCAACAAGTTACCCTTTCTTCCATTGTTGGCAAGTGTGATTCCAAGTGAAACGGGTTGGCTGAGGAGGTAATCTAGGTCAAGCGTGTTAACTATTATGAAGCCAGGTACATAAATTGGTAAGTAGTAGCTATAATTAAGATGAGTGATTGTGGAGCTAGATGTGTGAAGGAATACAGGTATGAATCAGACTTCCATTTTAAATCAAACTCCCTAAAACTAGGCAGTGAAATCAGATGCAGCCCATGATTTGGATCCAACCTGGACCTTATTTTTTCATAGTATTTCTAAAAACAGGGTCTCTTTAATGTCCAACTGGTACTAAGTTTTGTCCTCTCAAAATTAAAATGGCCTTGCCATTATCCAGCGGGAACTATAGTCAGCATTTTGGTTAATATTCTCCCAATCATCATATTCTAGATATATACCTAGTTATGCATAAGTACATGTATAAAGTGTAATATAAATAGGCTTATCATGTACATCCTATTTTAAAACTGCTTTACCACTAAACAATTACTTCCTAAAATCTTAATACCTGTTATTTCTTTTAAACTTTGATTTCCTCCTGAGATCTCAGTCTGAAACAATTAGCATCTCACCTCCTTATTATCAGGCATATCAAAGGTTACAACATGAACAAAAAAGACATCAAGTTTACCTCTCTTTTTTATAAGAGGTACAAAATCTGAGTAAAGTTTCTTCTTGCATTAATGGAATCCTATTTTAATGTAAATGCTCTTGCTTCACTAAAGTAATCTTGGGATCACTAGTTTTGTGGAAGCACCTCCTATCTGGGGGAAAAACTGCCTTTGAACACCTGAAAATTGGGTTGATATTATCTGGTTAAGAGGTGGTATTAGTCATGTAAGATTGTGACCATTTAGTCATATTTAATAACCCACTTACATAACCCTTATTTAATTCAGATACGATGTTCAGCTTGTATTTCTCGATAATGATCCCCCACCTTCAAACCAACACAGATGTACACACCCAATCAGCGTGCATGACTGCTGACTGGCACTCTTTCCAGTGACTGTTTATTGGGTGTCACGAACACAACTGTGATTATACAAAATGAAGTGGACACAGTCTTGTACAAATACCAATGGCATACATTTCACAGTTAATCGTGAAAGTTAGACAGGTTAACAAGTTCTATTAGTACTTTTCATAAGTAGTTTGATTTCCGAAAAACATTTTTAGTAACTATTAAAAGTTCTTTAAAAATACATGTTGATTTGAAGAACTAAAAACCTGTTTATTACATGAATGCTACTTATGAGAATTTAAAATAATGGATTCACTTCCTATTTTTCCACAAGTCTTTGACTTGTTTATTTACTAAATTCACAGAACTTGGGATGCATTTTTTTTTAAGTTAGCAACTTCCTTAGGGTTACTAGGAGGTAGACTAATTATGAAAAAGGGAACATTTAATTATTGCATAAAAGACTTCCTTGCATACTGATTACTTCTCGAACCCCAAAAAGTGCTATTTAGAGTCAACGGCCCATTTTTTTCCCTTTAAAGAAATACAAGGTGATTGAATGTCTGCTTCATTTCCCTAATCACATGTAATAAAGTTATATTGCTGTCACTAACAGCAAAGACAATGGTATATTAATTTTTTTTAGAGACCCAGTCTCACTCTGTCACCCAGGCTGGAGTGCAGTGGTGTGATCTCGGTTCACTGTAACCTCTGCCACCTGGGTTCAAGCAATTCTCCTGCCTCAGCCTCCCAAGTAACTGGGATTATAGGCACCTGCCAGCATACTCTGCTACTTTTTATAGATTTTAGTAGAGATGGGGTTTCACTCTCTTAGCCAGGCTGGTCTTTAACTCCTGACCCTGTGATCCACCCACCTTGGCCTCCCAAAGTGCTGGGATTATAGGTGTCAGCCACCGCACCTGGCCAGTATATTAATTTTAATAACAGTTAGAACCAGAAGGAAAAGGCTGCTATATAGGAAAACATACAAATATGTAGATAAAAGTGAAAAACTGAAGAATGTTGACTGTTGACTGTTACGTTACTCACACAGATGTGCTGGATTAAACATGCTGACTCTCCATTTATTCCAGGGAGGTGGAGCTCACCATGGTTCCACTGCCCACCTGATCCCCAAATGTCAAAGTGAAACAAAACTCAATAAATTCTAGATGATTGTTTTACTTCACCTAAAGAATTATCTGCAAATAAGAAAAATCAACTGATAGGGCAAAAAGAATAGTCTGTGAATTGTAAACATTTAGGGGAAGATGGGCTCCTGACTCAAAGACAACCTGCCCCAAGTCTTAGTCTGTGGAAGGTCAGAAGGCTGCAGTATTCGGCCACATGGAGATGGTGTCTTCATGTCTCAGAGGGTGCATTCCGTAGGCCAGACGTGTGCTCACCAACCGATGCAAGGGTCAGGGCAGTCCCGCAGGTACGTTTCATACTGACCTTTGGTAATATCTATCAACGTTGTAAATACGGTTAGCTGAAAGAAAAGTTGTTTTTACTTTAAGGATGTTTTCAATTCAGAGATGTTCAGGTATATATAAGCATTTCTATACCTGTAGAACTTGCTTTATCAAGTTATTTAATATTAAATAATAAATATAATTATGTTAATATATGGAAAGCATGTTATAGAAGGTATATATTTAATATAGTATAATCATTTTATATAGTATTAGCTAATCATTATACAGTAACATCAAATAACTAAAGCAACCAACTTCAATAGGACCATGTTTCAGGTCATGAATATAAACAGGCTCAGCAAAGAATCTCCAGCTCTTTACAAGAGCTTATTCCTGACAGCACATTGCTTCACCACCAATGCTTTAAGACTGCCTTAACCCTCCTTGATGCACAACTGACAGTCCTGCAAGGCCTCACGGTGTACTATGGAGGAAAAAACGTGGAACTTTGGCTATCCCTATCCTTAAAGCATTTCTAATACAGTGGGGGAAACTGCAGGCACCTAGCTCACAAGGTGCACACCCAAACTCATGGATCACACACTACAGTCATGGGATTGTGACTTGCTCATAGACGGGGTAGGCAAAATGAAAGTATGGCAGAGTCCAGGAACTGAAGGAAGGCTTCCTGTGAGAGCCAGGGTGACCTGATTGTCCTGGCAGGGGTAAAGGAGGCATGTTTACTTTAGGGAGAGTTGGGGAAAAGGACCAGGAAGAGAAGGAACAAGTGGGATAGTTACAGCGGCATCTTCAGAATGTTCAAGCAATGACTGGTAGCAAATGGTGGGATGATTAGGAAACTTTTTGCATTTTTTAATCTGTGGTGCGGGGTACATCTTTACTACATAAAAAGATGTAGTAAAGTTTAAGGGAAACCCTAACCTACCAAGACACAGAGCTCTGTCTAAAAATGGACTTCAGACTTTGTTCTGTTGACTTTTAGGTGTTAGTTGTATAGTGTGAGATTTTTAATAGACATGGATAAAAGTAAAATGCCAGACTTAATTCAAATGCCATGTAAATAAAGCTAGAAACAATACTCTGACCTATCAAGACTCAATGATCAATTTCTTTGTTGTATTCCAAAAGTTATAGTTTTAGCCACACAAAAATATTTTAAAAAATATCAGCCCTAGGTGAACATAACTTCTGTGCTCAAACTGATCAAAGATAACAGAGAAAGATAAAACATAGGACCAGATTCTTTCCCTAAAAGGCAAGTATACATATCATATTTAAAATACCTTGTTGAGCACAGGTTTTGTTGACAGGACATCATACATGCTTTCCAGCGATATACTCTAAAACAGACAAAAATAGTTTTGTTCGGTAATTAAATACAGAAGCCAACAGCTTATCTACACAAACAGGTCCTTAGAAACCAAGATACTCTTTAATCAACCTCCCCCGATGGATGTTCTGTGGGAGTCACTGTTTGAAACACAGGTAACAGTTTTCATGGATTACTTTCCTCTCACTCCTTGCGCCTTTTAAATTCTCACTTGTTTGTTATTCAGCTACAGAGTGGCATCCAGCATTAGAACAAGAAAGGGAAAGTACAGCACAAATTGGCATTTAAGTCAAAAAAACAAACCAAAAACTCAATGGAGATTGGCTAGAGATACTGAATAACAGGAGGTTTATAAGTCATTTGAAGGCTGAAGAAAAATGCCAGAACGAAGAGAATCTTTCATGGCAACAGTTTCTTTCTAAGTAAGACACAGCAAAGGTACCTCTTGGGTGGTGCGGTTCAGGCACATCTTTGCAGGCGTTCTGCGATCATCAAGGAAGAAGGGATTTTTCCAACGGTCGTAATTTGTTTGTACCACATACCATCTACCCTGCTTAGGATCGAGTCTAGATGCAAAAAGAGAGATTCCCTCTTAGGCTACATGCCTTAAAACTCAAAGTATGTCAGTGTATGCACCTGTTTCTACCTCTGCTTGAACAAACATACTTACTCATATACATCCAACGATTCCTTTCTGTCTCGTGTAATCACACAGCCCTCCCCAGACTGGTTGCCTCCCAGGATAAAGTACGCTGGGGCCAGTATCTTGGTCTTGATCAGTGTATTCTTGGCTTCTTCATAACTACATAGAAACATTTAAAAAGAAAACTTTTTTATTTCATTTTAGTAAATAATTTTACTTATTTTAAAATTTAAGTTTTGGGATACAAGTGCTGAACATGCAGGTCTGTTTCACAGGTATACATGTGCCATGGTGATTAGCTGCACCCATTAACCCGTCATCTAGGTTTTAAGCCCCACATGCATTAGGTATTTTCCTAATGTTCTGCCCCTCCCCTTTCCTGCAACCCCCCGACAGGCCCTGTGTGATGTTCCCTTCCCTGTGTCCATGTGTTCTCACTGTTCAACTTTCACTTATGATTGAAAACATGCAGTGTTTGGTCTTCTGTTCCTGTGTTAGTCTGCTGAGGATAGTGGTGGGAAACATTTTTAGTTGACTTAGGATGGAAATGTTTAGCTCTGTGGAAACTAAAGGAAAACAAGTATCTCAGGACTGTGTTCTTTACTTATTTTTATTTTTAGAGATGGGTTCTCACTATGTTTCCCAGGCTGGTCTCGAACTCCTGGGTGCGAGCAATATGCCTGCCTTGGCCTCCCAAAGGGCTGGGATTATAGGCATGAGCCACCATGCCCAGACACAATGTGAGTTTTAAAACGGAATGGTGACCAATGACTCTGGGAGAAGCAATCCCTGCCTCTGTGTGGTGAACACTGAGACGGGAAGTGAGAATTTTAGGAAGTCCCTCTTATCTGAAGGAGAAACAAAGCGGCCTCAAGTGATCATCTTCCACCCTTACTGTCCATGCCTTTCACTCAGCAAGTGAACAAAGGGAAATGATATTCATTACAGCATATAGGACTCAGGGAATACAAAGTAAACCGTCTTGAAAATTAGGACTATTAAAAATTGAAGTGGGTTATCACAGAACACTACTAACATTAACTCTTATTCCCTGGGAAGTATTAAAAATAGGATTGATGCCCGTTTATTTCGACGCAGTGGAGGCTGAATGAAGGAAAGACAGTTTTGCTATTGTAAGATTTCTATACCAAAGCAGAATATAACTTGTAGGTTAATATGTGCTACATTTTATATTTATTTATTTTGTTTTTTTGAGACAGAGTCTCACTCTGTTACCCAGGGTGAAGTGCAGTGGATAGATCCCAGCTTATGGCAGCCTCGAACCTCCTTGGGCTCAGATGATCCTCCCACCTCAGACTTCTGAGTAGCTAGGACTACAGGCACATCCCACCATGCCTGGCTAATTTTTGTATTTTCTGAAGAGACAGGGTTTCATCAGGTTGCTCAGACTGGTCTCAAACCCCTGGGTTCAGGTGATCTGTCCGCCTCAGCCTCTCAAAGTGTTAGGATTACAGGCATGAGCCACTGTGCCTGGTCTGTACCACCACTTACATGAAGATTTTACTGTAAAATTGTTCTTTTATATGTGGGTAATTTTTTTTTGTATACCAAAAATATTCATAGGTGCCTTTCAGAATGTCAGTATCCCTAGTGCTTTTTAAGTAATTCATTTCTTTGCTATAAAACACACAATATGCACAAAGAAAACACGAATAATTCCACCTGAGTGTCAGAGGTTCACCTAAGAAATTCTGCAACAGTTCCTCAAAGGATTAAGCTGGAGCTTGAGAAATATTTTTATATTTTAATATGAGTAATTTAAAATAAATATTTGATAATACAGCAACAAAACACTTTACCTTGTGCTATTTTCCAGAACTGTTCTAGTGATAAACCCTATCCACATGGCATCTTTCTTTCCCAAAATCCATTCTAGAACACCTGGAAGAGATTGAACAAACTGTCAGGAACAGGAAGAGGTTAGATGATGTAACCAGAAGGCACAGTTCAGTCTTCCTCATGAAAAAGCTCTGAGGCTGGGTACGGTGGCTCATGCCTGTAATCCCAGCACTTTGGGAGGATCACAAGGTCAGGAGATGGAGACCATCCTGGCCAACATGGTAAAATCCTATCTCTACTAAAATACAAAAAATTAGGCGGGCATGGAGGCACATGCCTGTAATCCTAGCATGATGGGGCAGGGGAATTGCTTGAGCCCCAGAGGCAGAGGTTGCAGTGAGCTGAGATTGCACGACTGCACTCCAGCCTGGCTACAGAGCAAGACTCCATCTGAAAAAAAAAAAAAAAAAAAAAAAAAAAAAAAAAAGCTCTGCAATTCCCATTTCACTTCAGAATGCGCTACTTACCCAGATAACCGCCATTTATACTGAAACGTTCATTTAGTGTAAGACTAAACAGTCCCTGAGAAAAAGACAAAGCAAAAAAGTCAGACACATCAATCATGCTCTTTAAGGCCCTGTCACTCCCTGTACTTTAGGGTGGGATATAAATGCCTAGGTTGGGTAATGGAGAAGGTAAAAATAAATCAAAACCATGCAAGGCTTTTTTTTTTTTGAGACGGAGTTTTGCTCTTGTTACCCAGGCTGGAGTGCAATGGGGCGATCTCAGTTCACTGCAACCTCCGCCTCCTGGGTTCAAGCAATTCTCCTGCCTCAGCCTCCTGAGTAGCTGGGATTACAGGCACGTGCCACCATGCCCAGCTAATGTTTTTTATTTTTAGTAAAGACGGGGTTTCACCATGTTGACCAGGATGGTCTCGATCTCTTGACCTTGTGAGCCACCCGCCTCGGCCTCCCAAAGTGCTGGGATTACAGGCTTGAGCCACCGCACTTGGCCCCATGCAAGGCTTTTAAAAAAGTTCAAAGCATTTTTGAATCTACCATGTGAGGTAAGTGGGATATTACTGGCTACACTTTTTGAACAGGAAACTGAAAGCAGGGAATGAATGCCTGACCTGTCTAAGTGAGTGGCAGACCCCGGAGCAGATGCCAGGTGTGGACTCCCAGCCCTTGACACCTGGCCACATGCTCTTTATCCCAGAACAGGCTCAGAAACCTCCATTTCCTTTCTACTCTTCTCTACCACGGGATCTCATACCTATGAAGTGACAAGAAGTACAAGGGGATGAAAAGGGGCTTTATATTCTTTTTAGGTCACCATATTTTTAGATTTCACCCTTTACATAATAGTAAAAGGACAAAAAGCTACCAGTAAAATCATGTAACAGCAGATTCCTTACTGGTCTGAATCCTGTTAACATGCCCACATAGCCAGCAAAACTTGAAGCCTTGAAGACAGTTTTGTTGTTTCTTTGGAAGTCCAAATTCACTGTTAAAGGTTTTAATTCCTCGGTTATGACCCAGGTATTATTTTCTATGTTCCACCTACAAGAGACAAGTTTCAGTGATATTTAAGAAACACAGTGAAATAATGAATATGATGATGAGATCCAAGCATTTCACTAGGAGCTTCATCTAGCTAGTTGCTATGATCAATCCTAACAAGACCTTTACAATATGATATCTTTATTCTGTTTTCCAAATAATAAAACTGAGGTTCAGAGAAGCTGAGTAACTCTCTCAATATCACAAAGCGTATAAAAAAAATGAGCTTCAGAGTCAAACTTAGGATGCTAATTACAACACTCTTATTTTTTCAGAAAGGTCAAGATGGACACATAAAATAGCAGTGTGCCCGTCCTGTCTCAACACTCAGGAATCCATTTATCTTCACTTATGATCCTATTTTGGCCCTGACTTGGGACTTATTTTTCATCACTGTAATACAACCTACTCTTCTTATAGAAAACAGATCTGTGTTCTTTACTTACCCAAGAAATACTCCAAAATCCATATTTCTCCCATGTACTAGATGACCTATTTAAAGGTACACAGAAGAGACATGTAATAGCAGTTAAGATTCTAAATCAAAGATGGACAATTACTTTTGATTAACTGATTTTGGAGATTGAGTCTCATTCTGCTGCCCAGACTGGAGTGCAGTGGTGCCGTCTCAGCTCACTGCAACCTCTGCCTCCCAGGTTCAAGCAATTCTCACCTCTCAGCCTTCCACATAGCTGGGGTTATATGCTCATGCCACCACACCTGGCTAGTTCCTTTTTCTTTTTCTTTTTTTGTATTTTTTTTTTTTAGTAGAGATGGGATTTCACCATGTTAGCAAGGCTAGTCTCAAACTCCTGACCTCAGATGATCGGCCCACCTCAGCCTCCCAAAGTGCTGGGATTACAGGTGTGAGTCACTGCACCAGGCATCTAACTCTGATTAATTTATATTCACAATTGTTTCTTCAAACAATAAGTAAGAAGAAACATCCTAATGTCCTAAGCCTTCACCAGATGGAACTGTTGTCACTGTCAATCTGCCAGATAACCCCACAAAATCTGAGAGCACAGGTTTCCAGGTTAAGATAAGAATATGGGAAAAGCAATCAATGGTCATTTTTTGGCACTGTTACATGGTTCTATCAGGACACAGAAATATGAGCCTCAACTAATGTGATTCATCAAATGTTTCCCTTCAGGCATTGTCCCCTAGAGCAGGACACCTCAAGGGTAAGTTACAGGCAGATTTATACGCAGAGTATATAGGCTGAAGATCAGGGTGAGTCAGCAAAGTCGTTCTGTGCTTTGTACTCTGGGAACCAGTCAGGAAATATGGGAAAGTGAGGCTGGTATACACAGGGCCGCCTGGCTGGGAAATGATGGGAGAATGTGTGTTTTGGGTCTTAAGAAAAGGACAGATATCATGACATATATGAAGATAAGGAAGCACCTCCTGCGAGCGCTTCCATCAAATCACGTAGATGGGTATAAGTAGAATATTATAAATCATGCGGATTTATAAATCAAATCATGTGGATGGGTATAAGTAGAATATGAGGAACAGAAGAATGTTTCTACTCCTGAAACTTTTCTTCTGGGTTTTTTGCATGTTTGAATTCGACTTTAATAGGCAGTACAGTAGTCTTAAAATAAGGAGAGTTTTCAGTGCACTCATAAAAATTTACCAAGATATAAAAAGCTCTGTGTAACAGACAAAGAATTTACATAGCAAGCCTGGATTTTAAAAGTTCTAATTCCAGACCAGTCTGGCCAAGATGGTGAAACCCTGTATCTACTAAAAATACAAAAATTAGCTGGGCATGGTGGCGGGCAACGGTAATCCCAGCTCCTCGGAAGGCGGAGGCAGAGAACTGCTGGAACCTGGAAGGCAGAGGGTGCAGTGAGCCAAGATTGCGACATGCATTCCAGACTGGGCGACAGGGTGACGCTCAATTAAAAAAAAAGTTCTAATCCCTTTATTTGGAAGATTTTTCTTTATGTCATACTTTGTACCACCCACCCTCCCTCAATGCACATTTACCTTCTTTGTTTTCTGCTACTATTGAAGTACACATGGTAAAAACTTCATAAAAAATATTGAATGAAATGATCTCCCCTGTGAGAAAAGAAAGGAAAATTTTGTGTTAATATACAGAACCATGACAATGGGAGAAACATTTGTTTTAAGAAGACATTTAAGTGTTTTCATTGTGTGAGTGTATGCTTTGGCCAGTGGGGCTGTGCCGGAATGGCTGGCTGGATGGTGGTTTCTTCCTAGCCTGGACTCCATAGACTCAAGATGAAACAAGTCACCAAGGAAGCCACCTTCGGGCAGCTGAACCTCTGGGCAAGTTGCAATTGTTCTGCAACATGACGTCCAAAATGTTTCTCAACATGCTTCACTTTATATTTTCTTTTGGGAGTGTAAATATAATCACTTAATACATCTGGCTCTTGGCCGTTTGCTAGAAACATATTTGCCCAGATTTTTAAAGTTTGACTAAAATTTCTAAGGTGTAAAAGAAGCTTCAATAACTATTAATAAAATTAGTACAGAGCTGCCAAGAAACTCCATTCTACAGCATTTTAGTTTTTCAATATTTTCCCAAAATGTGTAATACTGCTATTTAGCATTTAATTCAAAGGTAGGCAGTATACTTTATTTCTGTCCCATTTAACATTAACATGTTAAGCTCAACATGTTTTTTTCACCCCAATCCAATGTTTATTTTATTTCCATTAAATTTTTAATTTGGTGAACTTCTACTCTTACTATACATTTTTAATAATTTAGAATAAATTTGTACTACTTACACATCATGTTATTTTTCTTAATCAATAAGGTATTTATGTTTGGTATTTGCTAGAGTTATTACATAATAATGGAATTAGACTTGCCTTTCATAAAGGCAGCGAGTATATATGTCCAATATGTTGACTAACTTTTAAATCTTTTTTTTTTAAAGCAGCAGCACACAAAACTAGCCACTTTTGTTGATATATATACTACCGATGTTCACAAATTCTCAAACATCTCTCTTAGAAAATGAAGGTACTATCGGTTATTTAAAATATTGACACTGCTGCTTTGGTAGCCAAAAGATGAAACTTTTGGGGTCATGGGGAAAATCTTTTTAATTAAATGCCATAAAGCTTAAATTGACATGTTAAAAATAGCTTCTCAAAACATCAATATCTATTAATAATTTTAATGAATGACATGCAAGGCCTTCTCCCTGCAAAGAAAAGATACAGCTCAGAGAAATCAATAACCTAAATAAACGCTGAGATGTGTATTCATGGATTGGAAAACTCAGTATTAGAATCCCTTCAAAATACCATTATGCTGTTTTTTCAAAGTTGACAGGCTGATTCTAAGATTTATATGAGAATGCAGATGGCCTTAAATAGCCAAAAGATTTCTGAAAAAAAAAAAAAGTTGGAAGAATTATACTAGCTAATTTTTAAGACTTACTATAAAGCTTTAGTAACTGAGGTAGAATAGTATTGATACAAAGAAAAATAGGTACATGAAACTTAACAGAAATTCTCCAAACAAAACCACATATACATCATCACCTGATTTTGTGTGTGTGTGCATACACACAAACATACACATTGTATATATAGAGAGTATATATGTATTGTATATTTATATCAAAGATACCACCGCAATTCACTGAGGAAAGGATAGCCTTTTGAATAAATGGTTTTTAACTAACTGGATATACCATATGAGAAAAACCTGAACCTTGACCCATAACTCATAGCATATACAAAAATAATTCTAAATAGATCACAGGTCTAAATGTAAAAAGTAAATATTAACATCTAGAAGAAAATATATAAGCATAGCTGAGTGTGGTGGCTCATGCCTGTAATCTCAGCACTTTGGGAGGCTGAGGTGCGCGGATCATGACAGCAGGAATTCAAGACCAACCTGGCCAACATGGTGAAACCTTGTCTCTACTAAAAATACAAAAATTAGCTGGGCGTGGTGGCTTGTGCCTGTAGTCCCAGCTACTCAGGAGACTGAGGCAGAAGAATTGCTTGAACTTGGGAGGTGGAGTTTGCAGTGAGCCGAGATCACAGCACTGTACTCCAGTCTGGGTGTCAGAGCGAGACTCCATCTCAAAAAAAAAAAAAAAAAGAAAAAGAAAATACATGAGCACATATATGGCTTTGGGGTAGGCCAAGATTTTTTAAATGGATACAAAATGCACTATTCAAAGAGAAGACTGAGATACTAGACTTCACTAAAATTAAAAATTTCTGTTCATCCAAAGATGCCAGTAAGAAAATAAAAATGAAAGTCATAGACTGGGAGCAGATATTCAGAATCCATATATCTGACAAAGGACTTATATTCAAAGTATGCAAAGAATTCCTTCAATCCAATGTTAAAAAGGGCAAAAGACCTTAACAGCCCTTCTCCAAAACAAACCAAAAAAAAGATCAATCAACTGTCCAATCTCATTAGTCATCAAGGAAATGCAAATTAAAACTAAAATGGGATACTTTGGCTCTCAATACAAAGGCTCAAATAAAGACTGACACTGTAAAAAAACAACAAAAAAAAGAAAACACTGAACTATCAAGTGGAGAATTATCAAGTGGAGAAAACCAAAACTCTCACACTATGCTGACTCTACTGCTGTAATCACTTTGAAAAACTGTTGGCTGAGTGCGGTGGCTCACGCCTGTAATCCCAGCACTTTGGAAGGCCAAGGCGGGCGGATCACCTAGACCAGCCTGACCAACATGGAGAAACCCCATCTCTACTAACAATATAAAAAATTAGCTAGGCAGGGTTGTGCATGCCTATAACCCCAGCTACTAGGGATGCTGAGGCAGGGGAATTGCATGAACGGGGGAGGTGGAGGTTGCAGTGAGCTGAGATTGCACCACTACACTCCAGCCTGAGCAATAAGAGTGCAACTCCATCTCCAAAAAAAAAAAAAAAAAAAGAAAAAGAAAAAAAAGAAAAAAACTGCTTGGCAGAATTTACAAGGCTCAACTCTAAAACACAATCACTCTAAAACCCAGTGGTTCATTTCCTAGGTATATATCCAGAAAAATGAGTGCATAGGCCCTCTTCAATGTACTAGAATATTTATAACTCCTTTATTCTTAATATCCCAAATCTGAAAACAACCCAAATACCCTGTTCAAACAATAGCACACTACCTATAATTAAAGTACAAGAAATCACACACAGCAGTTCATATTGTTCAGTTCTATTTACAGAAAGTTAAGGAAGAGGCAAAACAATCTATAGTGACATTAAAATAGTGGTTACTTGAGGAGGCAGTATTTTCTGCAAAGGGGCATGATGGAGCATTCTGGAGAGCTGGACTCTTCCGTATCTTGATCTGAGTCACGGCTATATGCAGGTATGCATTTCAGAAGCTTCACTGAGCTGTATACCTAAGACCTGTGCACTTTGCTGTATGTGTATCACACCTCAATGGAAATATGTAAATGTGCTTCGTTTCATTTTTTAAAAGCCTCCAAGTGAACTTTACCTAAAGGTATATTAGTAACAGCGGCAATACCCTTCATTTCCTCTTCAAAAGGGCCAGGAAAGTTGCCAAGTAGGCTAGGCTGGAAAACAAATAAATTAATAAGCATTTAACCTAAAAAGCAAGCTTTGAAATCTAGTTCTTTGACATATAATTTGTTCTAGATGTTGCTGTCACAGTAAGTGATAGGAGTTACTTTTTAAAGCATTTTTACATCATGTATTTATAAAAAGATTCTATGAAATACTCAATACTGGGCCCCTATAGGGAGACCTGATTCTCAGATTGTTTTTCCTGCCTTATTTTTCCACCATTCTCAAGAGAAGGCAGAAAGTAGAGTAGTTTCACCTGGATGACCTAACATGACCTACAACACAAAAACATCGTAACAAGCACTCCTTATCTCTCTGTGCGAATCCACCCTCTAGCCATTGGCATATACCCTTGTTACCATTTTCTTCCCACACTCATGGAGATAAACTTGAACTGTTCACAGCCGTTCACAGCCTTGTGTCACGGTTAATGGCTGATCTTAGGCTAAGATGAATTAACTGCATTCTGTTAGCAAACCACAGACACTGAGCAAATTCAACGGTGGACATATATTTATTCTCAATGGCAACTACTAACGTCTAGATACAACTTATTTAAGTTCATGGCCTTTTGCTGAGATAATGTGTTAAAATTCATGACTCTCATTTTTTTAACCAATTATTATTTTTTTCCCCCTAGGAACTCAAAGCATTGCCCAAGTGGAATGTTTCAGCCATTTAACAAACAAATGTGACTGAATGGGTGTTTATTAAACACTCATTACATTCAGGCACTATGCTTAATAAACGGTGTGTCATCTAATCCTTACAACCACCATGTGAAATATATATTAGTATTATTCTCCTGATGAGAAAACTGAGGTTTCATAGGTTAAGAAACTTGTCCCAAGACACACAGCTAGCATATGACTGATCCAGCCTTAAAACCCAATGTTGTCTGATTCCAAGGTGTGGCACAAAAACACTTTGCAATGCTGCCCTCCCTGATAACATTCAGAGTAGAGGGGAGACTAGGGCATGTGGGGTACATGGAGACCTCAACCTCTTTTGCTCCTGCCAGCATTTTTTGTTTTGAGGAGGTCCGGTAAGTATGAACATAAAGGACAGCCTTAAACAAAAGCTCCAAGAGCATGAACATGATGGATAATGGGTTTGGTTGCTGGCAGGTACAAGTGCCATACAGACAATGTCCCCAGAGCACTCAGCTGCTAGGGCAATGATTCTCTACCGGGGCAGTTTTGCCCCTCAGGGGAGATTTGGCAATGTCTAAGGACATTTTTGGTTGTCACAACAGAGGGGGTGTTACCAGCATCGAGTGGGTAGGGGCCAGGGAGGCTGCTAACCATCCTACAGTGTAAACATCCTGCAATGATGGTTAGCTGGATGGCTGCTAACCATCCAGCCCCGAGACAAAGAGACATCCACCCCAGGCCAGCATCCTACAATGTACAGGACAGCTCCGAAACAAAGAGATACCCACCCCAGGCCAGCCATCCTACAATGTACAGGACAGCCCCGAGACAAAGAGATACTCACCCCAGCCCAGGCATCCTGCAATGTATAGGACAGACCCTCAACAAAGAAATACCCACCCCAGGCTGGTCATGGTGGTTCACATTTACAATCCCAAGACTTTGGGAGGTAGAGTTAGGAGGATTGCTTGAGCCCAGGAGTAGGGAGACCAACCTGGGTGACATAGCAAGCCTCCGTCTCTACTAAAAATTCAAAAAATTAGCTGGGAGTGGTGGCACATGCCTGTAGTCCCAGCTTTACTCAGCCTGGCCTACAGAGTGAGACAATGTCTCAAAAAAAAAAAAAAAAAAAAAAAAAAGAAAAAGGAAAAGAAAAAAGCAGCCCAACCCCAAATGTCATTAGTGCCCAAAATCTGCCATAAAGAGCGATGAGGATCCCTTTAGCAGTTCTAGGGGCCAGGCCCTAGGTGTTTCATTGATTCTGCATAAACAAAAACGGGCTGATAAATGGAGTCTTCCTACATGGCCAGGATGAAAATGAAATGGTTTGGTGACTGCACAGAAACACTCAACCCAAGTGAGTTTTGGGGTCAGAGCTACTGAGGAACTCTACAGAACGTGGGCACAGGGTGAGTATGTCCTAATAAAATCTCTGGATGTCCCTGAGATACTTAAAAAAAACCAAGTCTTCAATAGTGAACTTACTACTTAAAGGGAAGGAAATACCATACTCCCAGATGAAATGTGTTTATTTGCCTGTCATAATGTAGTCCATCCTTTAACAAAACCATAATTTATTACGCTGTTATCCTAATATTACTGATCCCCAAATTTAAGTCCCTCTGAAGTTCTGACAGTGAGCCAGATTAATGCAAATTTGTCCAAGTCCCTGAGAAGAGGCTGTTGAATTATGCCTTAAATACCAGATGATTTTCTGATTTTTGTGTGTAATGTATATGTGCTTAAAATTTATTGTGAGAAATAACATTTCTTACCAATTTTTCATCCACCATCTGCATAAGTTTTCCACTTGGCACGAATGTATTTACCATATTTTTCACAGAACCTATTACAACTTTTAGCTGAAAAATAAATAAATAAAATGCTTACTAAAAGACATAATGAAATGCTAACATTTAATATTACCTTTTGGCTCACCCATATGCAGCTAAAAGAGATTGTTATTTGACAATATTACATAATATATGTATATTTGACAATATTTCAAATATATTATGTGTGTATATATGTGTGTGTGTATGTGTGTGTGTGTGTGTGTGTGTGTGTATATATATATATATACATATATATATATATACACATACATACATATATCTTTTTTTTGAGGCAGAGTCTCGCTCTGTCACCCAGGCTGGAGTGGGGTGCTGCAATCTTGGCTCCCTGCAACCTCCACCTCCCAAGTTCAAGTGATTTTCCTGCCTCAGCCTCCCAAGTAGCTGAGATTACAAGCATGAACCACCATGCCCAGCTAATTTTGTATTTTTAATAGAGATGGAGTTTCACCATGTTGGTCAGGCTGGTTTTGAACTCCTGACCTCAGGTGATCTGCATGCCTCAGTCTCCCAAAGTGCTGGGATTACAGGAATAAGCTACCATGCCTGGCCTCAATTAACATATTAACACAGTAAATCTAATTTTATCTTTAAAGTGAAATTGATTCTTAATTATTCACGTGAAGGAAAATGACACAAAGGGAAAGAAACAAAGGTAAAGTTTACAAAAAAGAACAAAAGCTACAGAGGAATGACCTCTTTTCCTCTATTATCATTTACTGTATATGACAGAAAGGTATCAAAAGCACAATTTTAAACTATTTTGTGGGTAATTTCATGAAGTGTTCATTAAAAAATACAGTAACATTCAATAAAGTTAGAAATAAAAGATTTAATATGTAGTCTTCATGGTCCTTGGAAGGGAAATAAATAAATAAAACAAAAAATATGGCCAGGCACAGTGGTTCATACCTGTAATCCCAGCACTTTGGGAGGCTGAGGCGGATGGATCACTTGAGGTCAGGAGTTCTAGATCAGCCTGGACAACATGGCAAAACCTCGTTTCTACTGAACACATAAAAACTAGCCAGTGTGGTGGCAGGGGCCTATAATCCCAGCTACTTGGGAGGCTGAAGCAAGGGAATCACTTGAACCCAGGAGGTGGAGGTTGCGGTGAGCTGAGATTGTGCCACTGCACTCCAGCCTGGGTGACAGAGTAAAACTCTGTCTCAAAATAAATAAATAAATAAAATAAAAAAATAAAGAAAGAAAAGATTTAACCTTCCCGGCATACCATTGGTGCCTTGTCAACCATCAATTCATGCCATCTTTTGTAGGGTGGTAAATCAAGATTTATGGTGTACCATGGAACTGGACCTCTGTACCTGTAATGAGAGGGGTAGCATCTTGAAATGTCAAAAGGGTTTTTTGTGAGGGTTAGCGAGATAGATCTATAAGGATATATGAGAGGCATATTCTTAACAGTGTAGAATTTGGTTACCCAAACCAAAATTTGCAAAGAAAGTTCATTCTCTACCTAGTACTTCTAGGTTGAGAATACAATCATCAGGGATCACAGGATCTTGGCATAGAATGACATAGTAGGGAAGGTTCATGTGAATTGGTTTTATGTGAAAAAATCAATTACGGCTTAAGAACTCTAACCTGATTATCAATGATGGGAAATAGCTACCATTTCCCCCCTCTAAATGTCTGCAAAAATTTAGTCTAGGCTCTAGATACTTCTTCAATTGGTTTCCAGTTTCAGAATTCTCTCTCAGAGAGTCTAACACTATTGCCAAATCATTGTCTCTAGTGTTGGCTTCAGGAAGTTCAGGAAGATCCTTTTTTTTTTTTCTTCTGGAGATGGAGTTTCACTCTTGTTGCCTAGGCTGGAGTGGGATGGCACAATCTTGGCTCACCGTAACCTCTGCCTCCCGGGTTCAAGTAAGTCTCCTGCCTCAGCCTTCCGAGTAGCTGGGATTACAGGCAGGTGCCACCATGCCTGGCTAATTATGTATTTTTAGTAGAGATGGGGTTTCTCCATGTTGGTCAGGCTGGTCTTGAACTCCCAACCTCAGGTGATCCACTCACCTCAGCCTCCCAAAGGGCTGGGATTACAGGTGTGAGCCACTGTGCTCGGCCAGGAAGATCACCTTTTAAGCCCCAGAGTGGCAACATTTATTAGCTTCCCATGATCAGCTTCAAGATCCTGCATGATTCTTTCTGTCAGCCATCCTAATCTTCCCTACTATACACCTCCTCTCTTCTCATTTTTCTGTACAAAGTTGAAGCCCAAGCCCTATTCGGTCATATCCATCCTCCAACTGCCTACTCTTTAGCTTACATGCAGCAGTTTCTGAGGACACAGCAACATTCACTCACTTATCAATGGAGCTGGCCCATATTTCTGGTGGATGAATTCTACAACTACCTTTGTCGCTATAGGAACATTATTTTCTGGCTCTTGTTACTAAACTGAAATAGCTTTTAAGGGTGTGCCATTTAGTGATTTAACAGTATTAACAAACCTATGCCTAAAAATAACCATCATCTGTTCCACTGATCTGATCCTGAGACTCATAGGGTGACTCTGGTGTGTGCCACAATGGGACCAGTCTCCTAAATTAAAATGTTATCTAGACTTACGTCTATAGCTGGGGATGGGTTATTACCTGAAGTCATGAACTGTGGTTCTATTTGTATTTCCACTGCCATAATACTTCGGCTGCCATAAATAATTACTTGGCTCTCTAAATAATGCTACAGAACTTGGGGCCCTGGTATATGTATGAAGTTTTATGAAACTGTTAACTAGCAGCCATTAAGGTTGTGATTTAGACAGAAAAGAAAAGCATACTCAATTTTAGAAATGTACATTTAAGCAAAATCATAGTGAATGAATTTTGTTCTTTTAAGTTCCTCATTTTCTTAGGAGCTGATATCTACATGAAATACCATAATACTTATATTCTAGAAAAAAGCTTTTAATCACAACAAATTAATTCCATTTCTGATGGACCACAATTTCACATGTAAAATTTTGTCTCACAATTAAATAAGCAATTATCGTTCCCCTTGTTATGGGCAGGTGTACTAGCCTCCCCTCTCCCTTCAAGGGTGCATTTAGATTTCTATGTCTAACAGCAAAGATAACTCAGTGGCTTGCTGGAGCTATGCATGTCGTGCCCATGAATTCCTATCAGCTGCTCCTCACCTCATAACAGCCAACCAATCCCAAATCATGCCCCTATATCTGCCGTAAATTCCTGATTCTTTTTCTAGAGTCTTGGGTAGGCTCATGGATCTCAGAGAGGTGACGGAGAGGGGATGAATTCAATACAATCAACAGCCAATGAATGGATTACAGTGAAGTGGGCATGATGAGAACCTAGAAACGTCTCAACCATCAAATCTGCACTAATTAGAATTTGAGAGACCCGGTTAATCTAATAAACAAAAATATTTTAATAACTAAAGCTTAGCCATAGTAACACATTTTACATCTCATTAAACAGTTTTGTTTTGTTTTGAGATGGAGTCTTACTCTGTTGCCAGGCTGGAGTGCAGTGGCACAGTCTCGGCTCGCTGCAACTTCCACCTCCTCGGTTCAAGAGATTCTCCTGCCTCAGCCTCCCGAGTAGCTGGGACTACAGGCACATGCAACCATGCCCGGCTAATTTTCTGTATTTTAGTAGAGACAGGGTTTCACCATGTTGGCCAAGATGGTCTTGATCTCCTAACCTCGTGATCCACCTGCCTTGGCCTCCCAAAGTGCTGGGATTACAGGTGTGAGCTGTCGTGCCTGGACTTAAAGAGTTTTCTAAAACATTTCAATATTTAACTTCTGCACCTCACTTTACCATAAGAATAAAAGAGTATCTATCTTATAAGAACAGTGAAGACACTACATGAAAATGCAAAGATTAAAAAAACAGCAGCACTGGTATTCAATCGATGGTAGTCATCACAGTGTATTTTCCTACTTTACTGCACACAGAAAATATCTTTTAATCTTTTTTGAGACTTAGTGTTTCCTATGTCCATGCTATTCATAGTATCTGTTACACGGGCTGAACCCACGTGGCTACCCAGGTGGCATGGAAACGAGGCCAAGGGAAAGAACACATATACAAGAGTGCAGGTGCGAGGCACCCAGGGAGCAGTGGGAAAGAAATGCTGAACGGACTCAGATGGATTCAGGGGTGATCAAACTCTCAGTTCCTTTAACTCCAGCACTGATTCGACTAGTCATGCTGGCTAAACAGGTTATCTCTTTTTTTCCTCACATTTGCCCATGCATGCTGCCCAAGTGTATGTACTTAATCGAAAGGCATGATCTCACAGGTCCAGGATGACTGTTTGTCATTCAAAGCTACATAAACATCCACACCTGTCTCCCAGATCTCAAGATCCATTGTTAGAGGTCAGAGAGGAGAAAGACGAGAGCAAAGCTGAGGCTTTTTGTGTAGGAAAGCAGGGACGTGAGGTAAAAAGAAACTCAGCAGAAAAATGAAGGCTAGGAAAGAAATGTACACATCATGTCTACGTAAAAATGTGTATGTGTTTAGGGGTATATATGTATATGTATACATGCATGTACAGAATATGTAGACATACTCATGTGCACATGGCAATAGGAATCAGTAAAATGCCCAATCAGGAAAGGTTTATCGTTTGCAGGGCATTCGATTTATAGACATGTGTAAAGTGCACTTAAAAGGGAGTAGGAAAGGCCTTAAACGTGGAAGGCACCTCACGAAACATTCAGCTGAGAGACACAATCAGTAAGGCAGACTTGTCACCGAAGGCCAGGATGATGCCAGTGATGACAGAAAGGAAGACTTTCAGATGGCAGGCCATTGAAGAAAGAGCTGGAATCAACACTGGATCCGAACAGCATCAAAACTGGTTACAGACACCCGCCACCACACCTGGCTAATTTTTCTATTTTTAGTAGAGATGGGGTTTCCTCAGGAGGCTGAGGCAGGAGAATCACTTGAACCTGGGAGGCGAAGGTTGTTGCAGTGAGCAGAGAGTCGCGCCATTGCACTCCAGCCTGGGCAACAAGAGTGAAACTCCATCTCGAACAACAACAACAAAACAAAAAAACAACAAAAAAACCTGGTTACCTCGAAATTACTTCCTGCCAAATACTGACCTCTTTTTATATAAAGGTGAGTAAGTCACAAGAATTTAGTTTATTACAGTTTCATGCAATGTGGGACAGAGGCTATTTAGAATACATAGTTTAGACAACAGCAGTACAATGTATATAATTTGGAATGTTGCAGAAACTGAAAATGTCATCTCGATACCACTTGTTAGAGTTGTACTGTTTTCGCCCGCAACCAGCAGGCTGCTTTCAGAGACGGGCAGAGTAGGAGAAAAAGATCACTGTCCCCTATACCTGTGTTCCTTCCTTCTTCTGTTCTGTACCCCGAGTCTGCGAGCTATTATTGTGTCTTTCTCACAGGCCCATTTAAACACGAAGGATTTGGAAGGACCAAAATCTAGACTAAAAATATTAATGTTAAACACACTGAAACATGATTCTGGTCCTCCTCTTAGGTGTTCCAATCCTGTTTTGTTCTTGATAGCTTTGTCATGCCAAGGTTTATTCTGAGAACGTTTCACATATGAGGTTCTATGCTTTTTGTTCCAATATGATTTGGTGGTTTAGATCCAGGCACCACAGAGAATCACAGGCCATTTCAAACACAGCCCTTACATTTGTCAAAGATGAGAAAAACACTTAGTGGTAGATAGAAGAATTTAGTGGAGAATGAAAAGCCTTTTCTTTCCTATGATTTTGATAGGCTAGCACTGGGCATCTGAATTGAAAGATATTTTCATATTTGTCTAAGATCTCAGCCAAATGTATAATATACAAATCTCAGAAACAAACCTCTGTCACAGGATAGAAAACATGACTTAAGTTTTTTATTCACTATCATTAGTTTATGAGAGATTATTACATAGAGGAAAACACTCTGCAAAGGTCAAAGGGAGTTTGGATATCTGACGTTTACTCACGTTGGTCCTGAAGGAGGATAGGTAGATTTTCTGCAGTCTTCTGTCCACTAAAAAGCAAAGAAAATTAAGTTTCAGAAAATAACAAATGCTTGCTAACGGAATAATCAATTTGCAAAAGTAGTTAACAATCCGTGAAGATAAAATCAAATCTGATTTTGCTCTTTTACACCATTTCAATGTCTCTTAAATTAAGTCTTTTCCTCCAGAGAAAACTTCTAAAATCCTAAATCACTAAGTGGATTTTCAGTTTCAAATCAATTTGCAAAGGTGCTAGGTGTTATAATTTGGCTCTCATATTGCAAACATACTGAGTAACAAATAAATTTAAGAAAGCAGACGGAAAATGTTTATGTTAGAGAGGCTGACTTAGCACTAAAAGTAAATAACCTGATGGCATGTATTATCTGAACTTATGAGCCATGTGTATTGCAACCTGTCCCAGGCTTTGCCTCCCAAACCAGATTTTCAGGGCACACAGCACAGGGCTCTTCATCATCTTTCCGTAACTTACCATCCCAGCCTTATCTCCTGGCACTCCCCTTAGTATTTACAGCCAAACACAAGCACTTCCTATGATCTCTCACCCTTGCATGCCTTTGCATGCAGTATTCTCTCTTGCTAGAATGCCTCTTCCCTACCTGTTGAACTTCTGGTTCTAACTTCTAAGATTCAGTTCAAATATTTTCTTTCTCACGAAGTCTTCATCTATCTTCCATATGAAAACAGTCATACCCTCATCTGTACTTCCGCAGCATTTGTACACATGCTTGTCACCATGTTTATGACACTGTATTATATCCATTTGTTTGTGTCCCTTGTCAATACCAGACTCTGTGCTCCCTGAGGTGAGGACAGCCCCCAACACTGAGGTCACTGCCTGAGACAATGAAGGAATGAGATAGTTTTAGGGAGAGTTGCCCAAGCTTAGCAGCAAAAGGAGAATCTTCTCCTAAACTTATCAAAAAAAGTCCATACAGATTTATGATTCTTTTGTTACTCGTTCAACATAGCAAGTATGTTTATCTCCTTTCCTCTAGAGAACCAATGCAGTGAAAGTAAAATAATTATTTTAAAAAAGTATAAATCCACAATAAAAGGAAGTGGAGTAGGGAAGGAAACTCTCAGAACTATAGCTTGAACTCAGAAAATGTATCTGTTGCAAAGATGTGTAAGAATGGAGGTCTCACATCTTGTTTTAGCTTTTGACAACACAGGGAATCTATAAAGTAGGTTGACATTACTTGTGATTCAAACATTAGTTGTCAATTTTGCCTTACTGCAGTGTAAGTTTCTCATATATGTGTGGCTTTGTCTTGTAATTTTGGGTTGAATTCACTAAGAAACAATATCAAGGCCCAGCACAGCGGCTCACACTTGTAATTCCAGCATTTTGGGAGGCCAAGGTGGGCAGATCACAAGGTCAGGAGATCAAGACCATCTTGGCTAACATGGTGAAACCCCATACCTACTAAAAATACAAAAAAATAGCCAGGTGTGGTGGCTCATGCTTGTAGTCACAGCTACTCAGGAGGCCGAGGCAGGAGAATCCCTTGAACTTGGGAGGAGGAGTGAGCCAAATTCGAGCCACTGCACTCCAGGCTGGGTGACAGAGTGAGACTCCATCTCAAAAAGACAAAAAACACAAAACACAAAAAACAACAACAAAAAAATTAAGTCTGTAGCAAAAGCTGATTTCCAAAGTAATTCATGTTCAATAATAGTGGATGGGGGCAGTACTTGTTTAGAAAAATTTCACTGTCAACTGTGAACTCAAGGACTGCAAAACTGTACAGCTACTAAGTTATCTAATGGCTCTGTCACAAGAGACATCAGGATACCCAACCTCTATTTCTGACAAAAATTCACAAATCCCCAAGAACAAATGAGGCTCATGGTTTACATTGCTGGTTCAATAACACCCGTGAGATTCCAATATTTTCCACAAAGTATCTAAAAAGGAATACTATAATAAATAACCATAAGCCTTCAGCACCTTGGATGTTCATAAGTTTTGTGAATTTGCTCAACTCAGCCTTTTTTTTCTCACAAATATTTTTACCACCGTCAGTTTTTATGCATCTTAGCAGATTCCATTTCAGGTTATACTGAATCATTATTTTCTCAACTTCTTTGAAAACATCCTCGTCTACACTTGTTTTACACAGATGATTCATAGAGGCTAATCCTTCAGTCACTTCAAACTTGGCATTGATCATCTAATAAATATCAACAGCTGATCTGTATTGGTAATGTTGCAAATCAAGAAAAATCACTCAAAATCACATGCTTTGTTCTTTGATAGTGATGTTGTTCCCCAAATCCAGGACAACGTTTCTCTTTTAAAGACATGGAAAAGAATTTCATTTGCCCGCAATACTTACTTCTGCCGCTGCAATCGTACAACGTAGTTAACCCGCCACTGATAATGGCTCTCCTTATATTGCTAATAAATGAGCTACTTAGAGACTTATTTTGGTTGCAGCTTCATTTTATTTTTGAAAATTTGTAAATAAATTCTGCTGTGATGAGATACTCTGCTTTATATTTTCTTGTTTATCTGACCATTATTTTCTTGTGAGTTGGGAATACTGTGATGAGTACGTAACCTGAGTGCTTAATTTTATGATCATGCTGTGGACCCATGACCCTGCTCCATTAGTGACTTGCAGAAAGTTACACAGCTGGTGACAAAATCAGAGTCTATGGCTTCCCCTGCTCTACCAAACAGCTTCCCACAGAGATAATAAAACCAATGCCTCGATTTAATTCCAAACAGAATAATCTGCACTTAGTTTGGGGCTTCTGATGATCACTAGAATCAACTCGGCAAATCAGTTGAAATGTAATGACTCCTATCCCTTTCAAATAATCATATTTGCATGCCCTGGGTTCCAAGGCCAAAATGAACATCCAATTACAGGCACATTTCTTACTAAACAACTGTGAGGAAAGTTGAAAATGCTCTGTCTAGTATTAGGAGTGAATTTGACCTGCCCCAGAGGTAAGAGGCAAAGAGTAAGCCGGCAACAATGCACGTGGGAGTCTGAGGCTGATAACCACCCTCGGTTGCAATAAACAAACACGAAGTCGGCGTAGGATCTGGCTGCAAGAAAACAGAATAAATGTGAGTGAAAATAAGAAAGGTAGCAGCTATGAGGCCACAGTATTTAGGGGCTCGCATGGCATTAACGCCTGAGTCATTTATGCAAAAGGGTTCATTTGGGGGATGGGGTGGAAAAAGAACTACTTCGTCACCCTCAAAAAAGAATTCTACAGGCAGACACAGCTTCAAAACTCACAAATAGCCCTAAAACAGAATTATAATCAACTTATTCAATGTTACTTAAAGTTTCTTACTATCTCCCAAGTTTAACTATACATAGTTTTGTTTGTTTTGTTTGTTTGTTTGTTTGTTTTTTGAGACATAGTCTTGCTCGGTCACCCAGGCTGGAGTTCAGTGGTATGATTTTGGCTCACCAAAACCTCTGCCTCCCGGGTTCAAGTGATTCTCCTGCTTCAACTCCCAAGGAGCTGGGATTACAGGCGCATGCCACCACACTTGGCTATTTTTTGTATTTTTAGTAGAGACAGTGTTTCACCATGTTGGCCAGGATGGTCTCAATATCTTGACCTTGTGATCTGCCTGCCTCGGCATCCCAAAGTGCTGGGATTACAGGTGTGAGCCACCACACCCGGTCAAGTATACATAGTTTTAATAACACACAACTCTACTGAGGTAAGTAAAAATTTAAATAGATGACAGGAAGAGATATTAAGTAGTCTGGATGGTATACTGTGTTACACCCTCCCACAGGAAACAAAATTCAACTTAGAATCAACTCTAACTCTTTCCCCCCAGTACCTGTCTTTCTCTTTCCCTCTCTCTTGTTCCCCTTCTCTACCTTTCTCGCTGTCCCCCAGTTGTCTCCTAAGAGTGGAGAGAAGTGGTAAAAATCCGATGTTTCAATGCATTTGAAACTCTCTGGGGTGGGCATGGTGGCTCATGCCTGTAATTCCAGCACTTTGGGAGGCCAAGGCGGGTTGATCACCTGAGGTCAGGAGTTCAAGACCAGACTTACCTACAAGGTGAAATCCCATCACTACTAAAAGTACAAAAATTAGCTGGGTGTGGTAGTGCATGTCTGTAATCCTAGCTACTCAGGAGGCTGAGATAGGAGAATCGCTTGAACCCCGGAGGTGGAGGTTGCAACGAGCCAAGATCGCGCTACTGCACTCCAGCCTGGGACACAAAGTGAGGCTCCATTTCAAAAAAACAAAAAACAAAAAACAAAGGCTGTGCCCGGTGGCTCACACCTGTAATCCCAGAACTCTGGGATGCCAAGGTGGGTGGATAACCTGAGGTTGGGAGTTCGAGATCAGTGTGACCAACATGGAGAAACCCTATCTCTATTAAAAAGTACAAAATTAGTTGGGCATGGTGGCACATGCCTGTAATCCCAGCTACTCACGAGGCTGACGCAGAATTGCGGTGAGCCACGGTTGTGCCATTGCACTCCAGCCTAGGCCACAAACGTGGAAACTCCATCTCGAAAAAGAAAAGAAAAGAAAAATACCAAAAACCTCTCTGGAAAATGTTTTTAAAATAACGCCTGGGTCAGCAAGTTCTCTAATTTTTCTGGTTATTTGACAGAAACTTAAGCCTCTCTGTCCTCCCCATTCATTAAGAGAAACTAATTACAGAGCTACTGAACACAACATTCTAAAGAAAACAAAAATATAAAGAGAAAATTATTTCATTAAGGTCTCAATGATGCTCCATACCCCTAAAAATGACATAATTTGCACAGCTCATTAAAATATTTGAGCCTTGCAGAATTAGAAGACCCTCAATGAAATGTATGCTTCTAATAACGCAGTATAAAAGTTCAGAAAGCCATTGTATGCTTGTATTCAAATACTCAGACAATGAAAGATAATATAAAGTATATAGCTCATGTCAGTTTTCATACCCATCAGAAGCCGAACAACTCTAGCAAGACATTTAATTCAATTCTTGAATTCATCAACAACTATTTTCCAGGTAAGATGTTACCTATAATGTCCTCATATTTATAACTCAGCAGAAACACTGAATATGAAGAGGCATGCTTCTTATGTGTATAACAATTCACATGACCATGTGAATGTCTTCACTTGTCTTCTGGGCTCTGATGGGATGGCCTCCTATTACACTACTGATATTTAGGTCAAAGGAATGTGAATAAACCCTCCATGAGAGGAAGGACCTCATCTATCTCATTGGCTGATACATTCCCAGCCTTTAGAAGAGTCCGGCATACAGCAGGCATGCAGTATTTGTTGAATAAGTAAACGGATTATACTTGTGTGTTCCTTCTTTGGAAGTAGGAGGGAAAAGCAGATGCAGTGCAATAAATTCCAAGGCCAGATAGGGACTGAGATTTCCAGCAACTGTGTGAAAATCATTGCTAAAGCTGATTCAATAGCTAATGTCAACAATGTTGTAACTCATATGAGAAGCTGATGCATAAAAACAACTTTACTTTGGCAAGTAATTACTATTCCATTATATTTCATCTTCACACATTTTGTGAAGTGGCTCAGATCTTTTACCCAGAGCAGCCATCTCTCTTTTATAGTCCTTTCCTGCAGATCACCCTCAGCCTACTGCAAGCTATTTTTTGCCAACACTGCTCTGGCTGAGGTGACCAATGTCCTCTAGTTACTCAACATCATAACACTATTGACAACTCAGTAATATTCAACATAGTTAATCTGTTACAGTCTCTTCCCTGAGCTTCCTGTCACACACTTATTCTCCTGGTTTTTTGTTTTCTTTTCTTTTTTTTTTTTTTTTTGAGACAAAGTTTCACTCGTTGCCCAGGCTGCAGTAAAGTGGCACGATCTCGGCTCACTGCAACCTCTGTCTCCCAGGTTCAAGCGATGTTCCCATCTCAGCATCCAGAGCAGCTAGGACTACAGGCATGCATCACTATGCCCAGCTAATTTTTGTATTTTTGGTAGAGACGGGGTTCCCCCATATTGGTCAGGCTAGTCTCAAACTCCTGACCTCAGGTGATCTTCCCGTCTCAGCCTCCCAAAGTGCTGGGATTACAGGCATGAGCCACCAAGCCCAGCCTCTCCTGTTTTAATTTTCGCAGTTTCTCCTCTTCCTGACTCATACATGTGCAAATTACTTAGCCTTTGTGTACTTCTTTTCTTCTCTTTCTCTATCCTCTTTCTAGGTGATTTCGTCTGCTCCAGGGGTTTCAAATAATATCATAATGCCAATGACTCTCGATGTCTCTGAGTGACAGTCCAAGTGGTCTGCTGGATGTCTTTCTGCCATGTGAAATTTAACACATACCCCGAATGAAAACGATCCTCATTCTTTAGCCCCCAAGCTTTCCCCTCCCCATGTTCCCTGACAGTGATGCCACTATTTGCCCAGCGAAGCAGTTCGGAAATGAGCAGGACACACACACCTCACTCCCTCATCCGCACCCAATCCTTCCTTCTGCTCATTTACCCTCTAGAACGTCTACTTCTATCCCTCATCCCTGTGCCACCATCCTTCAATGCACCCTGTCTTCTTTTCTGGACTAGTCTCCTCAGATCTACTCTTGCTGCCCTCCAGTCCAGACTCATCTTTTTAAAGTGAAAATGTTATCCTGTCTAAAACCATCTAACGGCCTCCCAGTGATGGTTACAGATCCTCCCATCTTAATAAGAATTCAGAGATTTTTACATTAAATCTCTGAATCCTTGTAAGAGTCTATAGAACCCTTGATGATGTCATCTGGAGCTATCTCTCCAGACATTTCTCGTGCCACTGCCTCATCATCATCTCCTTTTTTTTTTTTGAGAGGGAGTCTTCCTCTATCATATTCTTAAAAATAAACTAATGGTAGAGGTGGATGTGTTATGTGCATGGGATTTGTTTTGTTTTAACATCTTCATTTGGCCGAATACAACTTTGGACCCTCCTGTGACAAAGTTTAAGAACTCCAGGCTGGAGTACAGTGGTGTGATTTTGGCTTGGTGCAACCTCCACCTCCAAGGTTCAAGTGATTCTCCTGCCTCTGCCTCCTGAGTAGCTGGGATTACAGACGCGAGCCAACACACCTGGCTAATTTTTGTACTTTTAGTAGGGACAGGGTTTCACCATGTCTGCTCTCGAACTCCTGACCTCATGATCCTCCTGTCTTGGCCTCCCAAAGTGTTAGGATTACAGGCATGAGCCACTGCACCTGACCACCATCATCTCTTAAGAGGCTCCTAAAAAATTCAGTGATGAAGAATAACTCAGGAGGACCTTAACATACGAGTACTGTGAAAAACCTCAAAAACAAACAAAAAAAATCCTTACAGATGTTCCAAATCAAATGACCTTTGTTTGCAATTTAAGCCAGTCCTCATTATTCATATTTATCAAAAGTAGTTCTGAAATATCTTTTGTTACCATGAGGGTATAGTTTATTATATAATGACTCCAATTGAAAAACTGCATATTCTTCTCAGACAATGAAGTCATTGAACTTTTGTAAGGTTCTAAAGGTCCTTCAGCCCATGGATCCCAGGATTTTCCAGGCCAGTAAAAAAAATTAATGAGGCTTTGTCACAGGAGGGTCCAAACTTTTATTCGTCCAAATGAAGATGTTAAAACAAATCCCATGCATATAACACATTCACCTCTGCCATTAGTTTATTTTTAAGAACATGTTAGCAACAATGAAAACTGGAAGTCCATATAATCAGAATAAAGATTAATATTATAAATAATTTTAGTTTTGCATCCTTATTTTTCTCATTGAAAATTTGTGAAAACAGCTTCTCAAACTGACACCAGTGACCACACTAGACTTCGATAACTGCTGTTCTAGACAAGAACTATTATATCCATGAAAGGTTATTGATTCTTCTGAAAATAGCTATTAAAATACTTTTGCTAGAATAAATAAAGCTATTGAGAAAGAAGAAAAAACAGCCTCCAACAACCAAAACTGCTCTGACTTCCACAGCTACACCTCAATATTATTACAAGCTGATCTGACACTCATGGCCAGGTAAGCTCTGTTTTCCTCCTGGACATAAACAATCTCACTGATACCTAACTCAGATAAGATTAATCTGAAATGTGATGCAATGAGACAAATTAATGCCACTTGAGGATTTTGTCCAAGCACAGACAAAAACAAGGACACTGCAACTCACAAAGCACCAAACATCCCCTTCTCTTGCTAAACAGAATGATTGTTGTTTCTTTACTTAATCACAGAATTCCCCCCACTTTCTAAAAGTATTCTATCTACAGCAAAGCCTGGTTCCTTAGTCTTACCCCACATCATGCAACCTAAGTTCAAATTCTGTAATGGATTTTTTTCCTACAACCTACGGTCGCTCATGGTGTGTGTTTTACTTTGCCTCAAAGAACACTAAACCCAATTTGTTCAACTCCTGGTGTGTTCCTGGTGGTCTTTGAATAAAGGGCCCTGATAGTATTAAAATATCAAATTCTTAGGCCGGGCGCGGTTGCTGAAGCTTGTAATCCCAGCACTTTGGGAGGCCGAGGCGGGTGGATCACAAGGTCGAGAGATCGAGACCATCCTGGTCAACATGGTGAAACCCCGTCTCTTCTGTAAATACAAAAAAAATTAGCTGGGCATGGTGGCACGTGCCTGTCATCCCAGCTACTCAGGAGGCTGAGGCAGGAGAATTGCCTGAACCCAGGAGGCGGAGGTTGCGGTGAGCCGAGATCGCGCCATTGCACTCCAGCCTGGGTAACAAGAGCGAAACTCTGTCTCAAAAAAAAAAATAAAATAAAATAAAATAAAAATAAAATATCAAATTCTTTCAAAATTCCCCTAATACCAACTACCCTGAAGCAAATTAATTCCCTACCCACAGTAAAGCAATTTTATTTGATGGTCTTTCAATCATGTCCACATGTATGTACTGTGTATTTTCCCGTTACAGGAAAAACTGTATATACTATTCTGGATTCTACTTTTATTTACTGAACACTTTATCTGTTTTAATGGCTGAGTCATATCCCACCATGATTTGAAAGAATTTCTCCTTACAGGTATAAAAGAAGAGAATGCACATCTTGCTTCCACTTTCTACGTCCTACCTAAGCTATTCAAGACCATCTTCATCTAGTCTCAGGCCAGATGCGCCGGGTTCCTACTTATCCGATCTGTTGGCAAAGACAAACGCTTTATAACGAAATGAATTATGAAAGAGCGCTCAGGCATGCTTCAGTAAACAACAATGTGACCTCTGGCTAAAGATTTTCTCACTCTAGGTCTACTTCCTCTTCTGTAAAACGAAAGAGTCACGTTCTTCCCTCACTGTCTCTTACAGTTAGGAAGTCCGTGGCCCTGTGACTTGCTTGCGGGAAAAAGCCACGGGGCAGGCGATCCCATGACTTGGGTGCAAGAGGCCACGGGGGGGCCTCAGGGGCCTGCTCTCAGCGGCTTGCACCGCCCAGACTTGGGACCAATCAGCTTCTCCCAGTGCCTCGAAGGATCCGGTGCTGAGCTCAACTCCTTGGAGAGAAAGCACCTGGCCATCAAGCAGTCCGTCGCTGGACTGAGTAATGCACACAGGTCGACCGGAACACTTTATTTAAACAGTTCAAAATGCAAGAGCCTGGAACCGGTGGTTCAAGCACACTCCCTCAAATCTGAGGATGTGCGAATCACAGCCAGGTATCCTGCAGAGATTAGGATTTCTTTTAAAGGTGTTCTAGTTCCAGGTAGCACGGAATCAACCGACGACGGGGTTCGCCAGCCCGCTTTGTACCCACGCCCCTGTGCACAAACCAGAGACCCCCGTAAAGAGGCTGCCCGGGACCAGGTGTTCCGCGTCCGCGCCCGCCCCGCCGCACCTGCGCCTGCACCTGCACGCCCGTCTCCGTGCCCCGGCTCAAGCTCACTCACCGGCGGCGCGTGCTGCGCCACGGCACAGCTGACTGCGGCCGCCAGAAGGACGAAGGCGACGAGACTCCGGCCCAGCATCGCTCCAGCAGCCAACGCCACTCTCCGGCTACCCGCAGAGGGAACAAGAAGAGTCGCCAGGGCCGGGCGCAGGCCACACCCACCCCGCCGCGTGACCCGCGACCGCACCATTCCAGGCGGTGGCGTGGGGGGGGCGCTCGAAGGAGGCGGGACTGGGAAGAAGGACGGGGCTTTTCAATGCAGGGAAAAGGGCGGCGGACAGACAGCGAGCCTTGCAGGCTGGGAATGGACCCGCAGAAGGAGAGTCGCGCTCGCTTCTGGCGCGCGGCCTGATCTATCCCTTCCCCTCGACCACCGCGGGCAACGGTCGGACCCAGCCGGAGCCGGAACCCCGCCCCGTGGGTGGGGCCGGGAGCTTCACCCGGACAGCGTCGCGGGGGCGCCTCCTGCAGGCGGGTGCCGCCCGTCCCGGGTCACCGAGCACCGTCAGTCCCCGCGAAACGGACCCAGAGTCTCCACACCAATGTACCATCTCACCCTGACCCATCTTTGCCCTCTGAGGAAAGCGGGCCCGAAATGAGTGGAGTTGTTCGTCCTCACCGCGGGGTCAGGGACAAGGAGCAGCGGAGTGGCGGGGGAGGGAGAGAGAATCGAATCCTCGAATCCAGTCAGGTCCTCCGGGCTGTGGGTTACCCACTTGGGCTTTCAGAGCAGAGCTCCCAAGTCTCGGAAGTGGGGCATCGGCGACGCGCAGACACTCGGGTGGGAAGGCCGGGGGGACCCGCGAGCCTTCTCTCCGTGCCAGGCTGTGTTTCCTCCCACCTGGCGGAGGACTAGGTTAGCGGAGCTGAGCTCAGCCTGGGAGGAGGCGGGCGCCAGCAGCTCGGCAGGGGGACTCACTTGGCTTTCGTGCCATCCGTGGGCGCCGTCGCGCGGGTAGGTGCCCGGGTTGTATTCCAGAGTCCACCAGGAAATCCTGACCTCTGGGTTGCACTTCCTCGTTAAGTCTCTGACATCCCAGCAATGTTTTAATGCTTCGATGAAGCTCAGCACGCGCTGAAATCTCCATTAATTTTTTTTTTTTTTTTTTTTTTTTGCATGTGAGAGAAAGGACAGCACATTGCAGTTTTATCTATTTGTATTATTTCTTTAGAAAACTCAACAGTCTTTTTGTTGTAGGTGGGGAAATGAGAAGGTGATATGTTTTGCTTTTTTTTGTCCTATTTTTTTTTTTTAAAGGGAGTAGATGACAGTGTTATTCCCCTTAAGGAGGAAGCTTCACTTTTGAAACATAACACATGCTTAAAGCACATGTGACTTCCTGCATGAACAGTAAGGCTTCAGATGGTAGAAATATTCGTTATTAATATAAAAATATTTACTGCAGACCTACAATGTGCCAAGCACATCTCCCGACACTGCGGATAAGCAGTGAACAACAATAAGATAAAGTTCTTCCACCAGGAGGCTTATGTTCTGGTGAGAAATGGGCAATAAACATAATACGTAAGAAAATTACATGGGATGTTAGTGATAAATGCTACGGAGAAAAAACAGGTCCAGGGGCACCAAGTGTGGAGCTCAGAAGTGGGAGAGTCACAGTTCTAAATAAGAGGAACAGATAGACATGATTAAGGAGGTGAAGTTTGAGCAGACATTTGAGGGAGGCCAGGAGGCTAGTTTGTGGGTGCCCAAGAAAGAATATTCTAGGCAGAGACAGCAGCTGTTAAAAGGCTTAAAAGGGAGAATGTGCCTGGCATGTTCAGCTACAGCAGAAGTCTGGCACAGAAGGAACAAGGGAAAAGGAAGAAGGAAGTATTAATAGATAAAGTAAGAGAGTTAAGGAGAGCAGGGCAAATTCTGTAAGGCATTCAGAGTCATTTCACTCCGGAAAAAAAATGTGTAATGTTGATACACGTGTTAAATGTTGAATATGTTGAAGTGCCTTGGAGCTTAAAATAAGTGTGCCAGGAAGAAGAGAATTCCCATCTTTTAGTTATTACTAAATCATATAGCTATTTGATTTGAAGATCATTCATCTTCAGTACTCTTGAGAGCGATTTAAACCTGTCACCAAGCATATTTTTTCCCCTATGAAAGGATGTTAATTGGTGATTAGGTAGCCTAGCAAAATCAGATTCTTTATGGAAAAAAGCTGTCAATTGACATACTATTCTCAGGCACCACTGCCGGAGAATTAGGCATCTAACTTCCAAAGGCCTATTATATATTGTTGATTATCTTTTCAGATAAAATGTAAATCTGTTTCCTTAAAATTAAACCATTTTATGCATGTCTTTTTTTTGTTATACATACATATTTTTCTTCTCCTTCTCCTTCTTCTTTTTTGCCTAAGCCTATACTAGAAATGCACAGAAAGTCAAGGCAAGGTGTGTGCAGGAGACTTGGCAGTGGTTTTTGGCATACTGACCTATTCACAGAAAATTGAATTTAAATGTACAAATGCATGATTATGACCATGGCAAGGGTGGTTCAATACCGTACAGAAGCATCAAGACTCGGATAACCTGTTTAGTGTGCAATAATCAGCATATGTAATCAGATTGTTTATGGAATAGCTGAAGTTCTTGGCAAGCTGTGGACTTCCTAATCTCCTACCCAACATTCCTAAGTTTCTGAGGTGGAGTCTTGATTTCAAAGCATTGCAACCTAGCCACCCCACCCTAAATGAAATCTATCACCTATAACACCACATCACCTGGAACAGGTTTGGCTCGATTTAGTAAAACTGAATATACAAAAATGATTTACTAAAAGGTCAAGATAATGTTTCAGTTTGAGAAATAATCAGAAGTAGTAACCAATGGGTTACTTAATTTTTTTCAAGGCTTAGTGTATTTAAAATGCATTCTGAGTTTCAAACAGGTTTTTGTTTAGCTCTTCAGGAAGGGATCTAGGTAAGAAAAGATGTTTAAAAATGGAAAATTAGAGATCATACAAAATTATTGTTTTTCTCTAGTAACTTTATCACACTAAAAATGATTACTTCATGTTTTATTTTTATTTCTTTTTTATCTTCTTGAGAGAGGGTCTCCCTCACTCAGTCACCCAGGCTAGAGTACAGTGGGGCAGGAGGATTGTTTGAGCCTCAATCTCCTGGGGTCAAGGTATCCTCCTGCCTCAGCCTCCTGAGTAGCTGAGACTACAGGCACATGCCACTGTGCCCAGGTAATTTTTTATTTGCAGAGACAGGGTCTCCCTATGGTGCCCAGGCTCGTCTCAAACTCCTGGGCTCCAGCGATCCTCCCACCTTGGCCTCCCAAAGTGCTGGGATTACAGGCTTGAGCCACTGTGCCCAGCTTGTTTTATTTATAGATAAAGAAAAATGTTAAATCATCACCTTCAGCTTGAGGTGTATTGGTACTGTACTTTACTCCATTACAGAACTACAAATTTAGTGTTCATGTTTAATATAATTGTCACTCTATATAATATCAAAATAAAAGTTATTTTAAAAAATGTTTAAGCTCTGGGATACATGTGGAGAACATGTAAGTTTGTTACATAGGTATACATGTACCATGGTGGTTTGCTACACCTATCAATCCATCACCTAGGTTTTAAGCCCCACATACATTAGGTATTTGTCCTAATGCTCTTTCTCCCTTTGTTCCCCCGACATCAATTATTCTCTACTTTGCACTTACCTTTCTGTTTCTATTGAAACATTTTTGATGTCTCATTGAATCCCTGACACCCCAAACATGTTGGAATTTGAGGAGCCAATTAAAGTCCTTTGTTCTATTTTTACTTTTCTTGATGAGACCTGTAGTTCTGATCCCAAAATTATTTTCAGTTTAACTCAAATGTGATTATCTTTCAACGTTTTTGCCATTCTGACTTCCTATTTCTGCATAGTTCCATATTTCATAGTGCCATTTTACATAAGTAATTATAGTTACCTATTTAATCTCCAAGGGTTTATTTCTAATTAGTTTGTGCTAAATTCATTTATTCTCTTATACATATTGAGCACTTAATGTAGATGCTGGGTAAATAGTGAACACATTATTCCTGCCCTCATGGGCTTTCAGTCTAGTGGTAGAGAAAAATAAAGATGGAGGAGACTTTAAATACAACACATATCTTGGAACTTTAAAACATTTCAGTCATTAATCCAGACTCTACCATCTGGTTTAATATTGTACATTGGGAATGTTTCACCAGCCTCAACTCCACTTCTTTATTATGTGGCAGCTATGTGACTTAGATGAGACACATTCTTACCCTTATCTTTGGGGGCAAGCCCCAGTTGGCTTATGACATTTAAAGTCTTCCTGTCCCTCTTGCCACAGTGCTTGGCTTAGGCCTTAGTCACTCAGATTCTTAAACCAAACAGGTCATGGTTTAAAGTTCAGGACCTTTGCTCTATAACTGAAGCAATTGTCCTCTTTCTTCTTTTCTTTTTTTTTTTTTTTGAGATGGAGTTTCACTCTTGTTGCCCAGGCTGGAGTGCAATGGCACAATCTCAGCTCACTGCAACCTCCGCCTCCCAGGTTCAAGCGATTCTCCTGCCTCAGCCTCCTGAGTAGCTTTGCTTACAGGTGGCTGCCACCACTCCAGCTAATTCGTTGTGTTTTTAGTAGAGACAGGGTTTCACTGTGTTGGCCAGGATGCTCTCAAACGCCTGACCTCAGGTGATCAACCTGCCTCGGACTCCCAAAGTGATGGGATTACAGGTGTGAGCCACCACGCTGGGCCTTGTTCTCTCTCTTCTAATAGAAAAGAGGAAGCTAGGAATCCCCATTGCTGCTGGCATGCATGCTATAAACCTGAAGGGAGCCGCCTAAGATGAAACTGATACTGTGGACAGTGGAAAGATGGGAACAAACTGGGTCATGCATGACATTGTCAAGATGCTAGCTCAACCAACTACAGAGCCTGTCCAACAACTGGACTCTTCATTTACGTCACCCACTATTCTGTTACTGAAGCTAGGTCAAGTTGGTTTGCTTGCAAGTTAAATTATTGTATCTGAGAGCCTGCTAACTGATATACACATAAAAATAGACATTTCTCCCTTTTTAAGAGGAGAGGAGGATGTACAGTAAATCTATGAAGCTGAAGTTTTATTACCTTCACTTGCTCATGCAAGGCCCCTTCCCAGCCTTTTACCAAATTTTACACTTGTAATTTTGTATTCTTCTCCTTAAAAAGGAACATTCAAATTGCGTAAGATTCAGGTATCACAAAACCTGGATCTAGCATCAGAAGTTTCTGGGAGAAAACTTCTACCTTTCTCTGCAATCCCCTCTATTCATGTCTCCCTAGGGAAGGAGAGCTGTATCTAATTGGTAAATAGGTGAAAAGGTCACAGAACATGAATGACCTGGCCTCTTTTCTGACGCTCTCATTCAGATCTG